AAAAAATATAAGCTACAAACTTCCTGGACTGAAGTCACTCCATCCACCAGCTGCACACACGCATGTCTGCAGCACAAGCACAGCCTCAGGACACCCATCCCAGAGCTACAGGCCAGTCCAGGTTTTACACGGGTTCTGGTAAGTCCTGTCCCAAGCTGGGTGTTCTCTGCTTGTTACCCTGTTGTGAGCACATCTACAAAGATGCACGCTGGGGTAGTTCAGTAAATGTCAAACAGCTAGGAGTTTGTTTCCCCTCCATCAGTATATTTTTGCCCAAGACCCTGCAGCTTATAAAATCAGAAACGAATGAAACCTCTTCAGCAGAAAGTGTCAGATTCCCGGCAAGATTCCTTCTACACACACACACACCCACGCATGCACACAGAAATCAACAGGCTCTCCCTCTCTCAAACACTCACAGCAGCTCTGCAGGAAGAACTGCACTGGGCAGGAGACTGTGGGGACCCGAAGCGTCTCGGCGTTCAGGCTGCGCTCGTGTAGGGGCTGTTCCTCACGCCCCACAGCCCGCCACGCCCCCCTCGCCACGCCCCCCTCACAGCTTGTAGTTGTGCTGTAGCTGCTTTCGGAACGGTTCAAAGTCTTCAGGCACAGTGTCTGAAATCAGGAGAGCAGGGACATGGTTTCAGGCACAAGCCTGCACTGAGCAGACAGAGACTTTAGATCAATTAAATGCAGACACTTTCTTTCTGTGCTGCTACCTCACCCCCATCAGACACTGAAAACTGAAAGTTTTTTTAATGAAATCTGCAGCCTTTACACAAGCGCAGGTATGACACATGCTAACTTTTTTGTTTTTCTAAAAAACTCATTAGATTCAGTTTGTATAGGAGATCTGCAGCTCTGGGTCTACAGAGCCCCCTTCTAGTTTGTCCTACAAATCACCTGTTCTTTTAAATTGTAAGTTCTAAATCTACTAAGCCAGTAATTTGTTCAATTAAGGTAACATTGATTCTTGAGGGCAAGTGTCTTCATTTTAAATCATCACTAAATTACTTGTAAAAATAATGTTTAACTGTTTTAATGCAGATAATTGATTGAGGATTTAATGGCTGCCAAAAACATCTTGCTGGATATGGGCCGTCCAGCAGCAGGGTTGAAGGCTCCGTGCTTTAGATGAACTAAATTCGTTTTTAAGTTACAAAACAACCTGTAAGAGGGCAGAAGGTTAAGAGGACATCTCGCTGGAACTACATTCCCCAGGATGCATTTGGGAATTAATGGCCATCCTTCGTCACCTGACCAACTGGTGGAACTCAATTGGTCAGCTGACAGTTAAAAGACCACAAAGCTGGATACAGATGGCACATCAGGAAATTACTGATGGAGTGTGGAAGAGCAGGAGTTTGGAAGAATCTAAGAGGGGGGCTTTTGTTTTAGGAGCCAGTTACCCAGCCGTTTTTGGAGAGGAATTTCAGAAATTGAGTTAGTAGCTTAAGGAAAACTAGGCTTTTGTTTTGCTTTTGTTTTGTTATAGAGGTGTAAAATGAGATCCAGACTTCACATCTGTGCTGTTGATGTATCCAGAGGTCCTTGAGCTGAGTTATCCCAGTTTGGGATCGCCAGTTGACCCCGACTGGCTTTCTCTGGTAACAAGTGGGAATCTGTTGTAGACATGCTCATGTGACCTGTGACCTTCTGCAGGAGTCATGTTTTGCAGGAGAGGTCATGGCAACTGGAGGAATGTGCAGAGGGTGGCAGAATTTCATTTTCTTACATTACACCAGCTCTTAGTGACCTCATCAAATCACTTCCCAACTTTGGCATTGATTAATACCAGTTTTCCATCTTTTCTGATTGAGGATGGGGCTATCTAGCACCAGGCTATTTTAACATACCCCACTTTGCTTGTTTGTGACCTCTGACCTCTGACAGACCAAGACAAACTGACTCTCTCCCCCCCCCCCAACTCCCCTGCTCCCATACCATTGCAGCGGTAGCGCAGATTGGACCAGATGACGTTCTCCTGGGAGAAACAGAACACGCCCAGCCGGCCCCCTCTCATTGAGGTATCGATGATCACCCCGGAGTCAGCGACCAATCCAGGCCCTTCATACAGCTTCACCCTGCCAAAACAACAAAAAAGAAACACTGCTGTAAAAGCAGAAGTGCAGCCAATGACACACAGGAGGTGGGGCCATCCAACTGGAGGTGTGCGGAGCTGGGCAGCCAATGGGCACGCAGGAGGAGAGGGGTGTGGCGGGAGAGGGGGAGGGGCAAGGGAGGTCAGTTTTATGAATGAAAACAATGCTGGAGTCCGTTTAAGCCTCCCAAGCTGGCCCGCTAACTACAATCGCACTAAAATCCTGACGAGCACTTCTGTGCAGAAGGCAAAGCCGGTTCCACAGGTCTGGAGTGGAACTCCAGAACGCAGGGGAGTTGGAAATGGCCTGCTGGGAAGCAGGTCGCCCTCGGCCTGCAGCTGGGCAACAAGACGAGCCAGGGGACAGAGTTCCAGCTGTCGGCTTTTCGAGCGCCGCAGTGGGAGAAGGTTAAAGCCAGCAGGTGCATCGAGTGCTTCCGAGCAGACGGTCTATTTCCTAAAAAAAAAAGCAGAAAACGGAAAACACAGCCCACAGCGCCCTTTTCAAAACAGCATCTCTGACAGCGAGGGCGGTGAGACTGTGGGTCTCAAGAGAACGCCCTTGCAGTCGGCCCCGGTCTCGGCCTCTTTCCTCTCCAGCACACCGGAGCGCTCGGCTGTCCCCGTGTGAATTGTTCAGCACCGCACAGAGCAGGGTGTCATTCACAGCACGTCTGAATGAGCCCTGGGGGGAGAGAGGGAGAGTGAGAGAGCTCTCCAGCCCCCACAGGGACCCCCCACTCTTTCTTCAACGCAAGGCAGGGAAGCAGTGTTCTTAAGATGACAGTATACTGCGCTGGCCAGAGCAGTGGCACCAGCTGCAGCTCCCAGATCATCTCCACTGGGGAGGCAGGGGGGGGTTTGGAAGTTACTCTGGTGTGCCCGTGCCCTGCTGGCAGATTTCGGTTCAAAGCGAGTTAACGTGGGAGATGATCTGGCCTTATGTGAGCGCAGGCCCGGCAGCTGGGCAACTTTTCACTTTTCCCCATATTTTCGCGAGCCCTCTGCCTGTTCTCTCTCCTCAGCTCGTGTTCAGTCTCGCTGACCTCCCCATTCCTGTCCGTCTCAGCCTCCAGACCCTTCCCTGCCCTGTTCCACCCCTCTGTCTTTGACCACCTTTCTCGCTCCTCTCTCCTGCTCCCTCTGCCTCTTCCTCCCTCCCCCCCATCTCCCGTTTTCCTCGCCCTCTCTCTCCTGGGTCCCCCACTCTGCATATGAAAAGACAGAGCTGCTGAGCTACCACATTCCTGCCAAGGATTGGGTTGGCATGGCGACGGGGAGACAATGGCCAGTTGGGGGGGGGGAGAGGTGGGGGGGGAGCTCTTTCTCTCCCTGAACTTTCCCTTGAGGTTTGGGAAGAAAAGGGAGAATCGACTGATCGCCCCCCCTTCTGTCCCCCCACCCCTCTTTAAAACACTGAAGGCTTCGCCCTCTAGTGTCCAGATGGCAGGGAGTTCGCTTAAAAGTGTTTATTTCTCCTTACATGGTTTTCTGCATCTCAGAGAGCTTATAATAGAGGTTATTCAGCCCATCAGGGTCATTTCACTGCTCGTATCTTACCGAGTCTCAAAGGGTCTTATTTGTTGACCAGTCTTTTCTTGAAAGGCTTTAACAGCATGTTTGCAACCTGTTCCAGACTCCCACCCCTCTTTGTGCAAAGAAGGGCCTCCAGAGTTTTCCCTCCCAAACTTTGCAGGAGAGCCCTGCATATTTGCTGGCACTAAGGACTCAGCTGGAATTTTAGGGAGAAATCTGGTGTCAAGGTGCAAATGCTCAACGTCATCGTGTAATGGAGAGCTGGAGAGACCGCTGTGCTCACGGAGGCGCAGGCTGCGTTAACTGGGGAGGGTCGGAGCACATCTGGAGCTGCTGCTGGGGTGAGATTTTGGGGGATGGGAAGGGAGCTTGGTGTGTCAGGCTTGTGGATCAGGAAACTGTCATGCTCAGTCAGAGATGCCAGTGCAGCATTGCAGTCCAGATGCCACAGGTGCGAGCCTGCATAGTGTCATTGGCCAACCGTGGCCGGGATCCCAGAAGTGATGGTGGCAGTTGCTCCCCAGGGTATCCCTGGATCAGGTCTGCTGTGCCACAGTATGTAAGAATCCCACTGCACAGCAGTCTGCTCCGCTCCAGGGTTCACAGTGACATCAGTAAGAATCCCAAAGCTCTGGAACTCTATCCCCAAGGATGCCAGAGTCATGTACCCCGGGTGCTTTCAAACCCAGACTCAAAACCTTCCTGTGCAGAAAGACGTTTACTTAAATGACGTCTGCTGCTCCTTGGCATATTCTACTGCTTCTAAACCCTAGTTTTAAAGAGTGCTAACTCTGTTATCTTCCCGTCTTTGTTTCTGGTTTCTTTGTTATAAATTATTTATTTTCCTTTTCCAGGCAAGTGCTTGAAGGAGATACTTTTAAAGGCACTAGATGATGATGATGATGTGTGGTGGCTTTGTGGCTAAGGCTCTGCGCTTATGGTTAGAAGGTTGCCGGTTCAAATCCCGTGGCCGGCAGAGGAATCCTACTCCGTTGGGCCCCTGAGCAAGGCCCTGAACCCCAGCTGCTCCATGGTCGCTGTACAATGGCTGACCCTGTGCTCTGACCCCCAGCTTCTCTCCCTGTCTGTGTGTCTCATGGAGAGCAAGCTGGAGTATGTGAAAAGACAAATTCCTAATGCAAGAAATTGTATATGGCTAATAAAGTGATCTTAAATCTTATCTTATCAATTGTCTCAGCTGCAGAGCACACACCTCAAGGCTCAGTCGAGGTGGAATAATGGCACAGCCCGGCCCAGAACAGCAGAATAGTGATGCTCCGGACCACAGAGAGGCCCAGCGTGGACTCCTGTGCCGGGATTGTGCGGGATCGTACCGGATGTATCCCACCTGCGGGCGGTGGGTGAGGTGCCAGCGGTAGGAGGTCTTGTCCCTCCAGCCCACGTTGCGGGGGTCCTTCCACAGCAGGGTGACCTCGCCCGGCGTGTCGCCCGTGTTCCACAGCGCGTTCCTCAGAAACTCGCCCGGCCCCGTCCGAGACTTCACCGCCTGGGGATTGAGAGGAAGAGTTGGCCCGCACAGGGAGAGTGAGCTAATTCCCACAGTCCCAGTCAGGACACTGGCATACTGAACCCAGAGAGGGATGAGGAATGAGGAGGAGGGATAGGGAATGAGGTAGAGGGATAGGGATAAGGAGAAGAGTAAGGAATAAGGCAGAGGGATAGGGAGCAGGATAAGGAATTAGAGGACAAAGGACAAGGAGAGGGATAAGGAATGAGGGGATGAGGGATAGGGAATGAAGAGGAGGGACAGGGAGGGGAATAGGGAATGAGAGGCAGAGGGATAAGGAGAGATATCAGGAATGAGGATAGGGATAGGGACAGGGATAAGGAATGAGAGGATGAGGGATAGGGAATGAGAAGTGAAGGTGATGGAAGGATAGAGGAAATAAGAGCCAGGATGGTGAGACAAGGATTGAAACGGATCTGACTGGACTGGATAAATGCAGGCAGGAGGGCAGGAGGGCAGGAGGGCAGCAGGGCGGCGGTGCGTCTGAGCTCCCAGGCTGAGCGACGTGCCCAGCTGGCAGTGCCCACCTTCAGCTGCAGCCCCGGCGCCGCCACGGCGCGGAAGGGCACAGACTGCCAGTACGCCTGCTCCGTCTGCTTCCACATCACCACGTAGAAGCTGGAGGAGTCCTGGTAGCCGAAGATGAAGCCGGCGTAGTCGTCGTCCGTCACCGTGTTGATGTGGAAGGTGCCCTCGAAGTCAACCCCGTTGAAGGCCGTGTAGCCTGCAGGGCACAGCACAGGCGCGGGTCAGAGCCCCGAGGGCGCGGGCGAGAGACCCCCTGGAGGAGGCTGGAGGACCCCCTTCAGTGGAGGACAGCATACTATACCTACCTACAGCCAGCCCAGGATCACTGTTCATGGTCTGCACAATCTCCATGCCCTGGGAACACACACACAGAAAGTGTGTCACAACAGGTAACCCACCTCTCTTCGACTCTTTTAAAGACCTGCATTGATGAGGGCCACTTTAATTGCCTTAAATTACTGTCTTAAAAGTAATCTAATTGTTTAATAGAGTTGATTCCTTAACTGCTTCTTAATTGACCAAATTGGGAATGGACTGGAACAGCCACTGGCAATAGAGTGGAAGAGTGGTCCAGCCCTTGACCACGGTTGCCATGGGAAACACCACTGGCAATGGAGTGGAAGAG